TTGAAGGGGGTCTGAATACTTTCCGTACCCACTGTGTATATATATATATATATATATATAGTCGACGTGGGAATCTCTAGGCACCTCACGATTCAATTTGATTACGATTCAGAGGGCTGCGATGCGATGATAAAACGATTACCAATGCATCTTTTGTTTTAATACAGATTTTCTTTATTCTCACTGTCTGACTATTAAATAATAAATCAATAAAACTAATGGAAGTGATTTGGCAAGTCAACAACAAGGTTACAAAGAACCAACGGGAAATTAAACGTGTCTGTACCAGCATATTTGTAAATTAATACAGACTTAAGCATATTTGGTTTCTCATATTTGTTGTTTCCAAAATATTGTAGTTTGGCTTGACACAACCTGCATATAGTGTGGCTCTTGTCCAGGGTCTTTCCCCCTTCAACTTCATAGAAGCCAAAGTGCTTCCATAAGATAGCTTTTAACGCAGATGCTGCCGGTTTGATTTCACTGCTTTTTCTGCTGCCTTCTCAAACTTTTGCTGCAGCAGAATTGTTTATTCCTGCCTTGTAAATGCATTTACATTTATTACATTTTTAATAACAACTTCTCAATCTTCAGAAGAAAAGTGAATTGCAGACTCTCGCGAGAAGTGAATTCAACTGCCGCTTTGCTTACACTCTCCATGTTTCGTGTGATTGGCTGTTTGCTGCACATGTCACACTTTCAGGTGCATGCGCTCCAGAGTTAATCACAAACTCTGAGTTGTCAGAGAATGTTTATATAGCTTTTTGAGCCCGCTGATCCTGATCTAAACCAGGTTGGCTTTATCGGGTTTTGTCAACTCAAAACTTACTCCGCAACTCTGAGTTTATTCGTCTTGCTTCGTACTACAGGCCACAGGAGTCAAAGTTGTTTAATCTGTTGTCAGAGTTTACTAAAGGCAGAGTTCTCCACACAAGTCCTTAAGTGAGCTTACTTCATAAAAATATTTTCTACCTGCATTAAAAGCAGGAGAATCCAATAAAATAAGTTTCTCACACAGCTCAAGTAAATCTCACACCAGATTAAAAAAGCCAATGTGTCTGACTGACATCAACAATCGCGAGAGTGATTCAGCAACATTAATAAAGAATCAAGAATAAACACCAACCTCCTTGCTTTGCAGTATCTTTGTGATTTATTCTGCAGGGTTCTGGATCACTCATGTTCTCATTGTTCTCTAATCTTCACTTGTAAAATGATGAAAACAATCCAGCATTGGTGAATTCCTGTGTTGAATAGAAAAAGATCCGCAAAAATAAAAAAATAAAGCAATTATTGAGTAACACATTATATGTTATGTTTAATTACCCATCAATCAAAATGTAAACTAACTGAAATTGTTTTAACTTCATTTAGCTTTTCACTTAGTTACCTATATTTTTGTTAATTGGTTATTATTTATTTATTTGCTGTTTTATATGAAACATGTTTTTTCAAATAAAAAATTACACAAAATTAATGTTCATTAAAGTGTATTAATTAAAGTTAAGAGAGGTGTATCTTTAAGACCTCGAAAGTGTTTATCATGTAGTTTGATCCACCAATGAAATGAGCATTATTACAAGATATTTAATGAGGTGAATGAGGGGAGCTTTTGACATGGAATAAAGAGATTATTGTTTAATCAATAACCTGATCATTTAAGATAATATGAGTCACACATGATATATTCTGATAACGATAAAACTGCACTGTAATAGTACTACTATTTCTAACAATCTTAGAAGAAAAACATAAATTAATCCAAACTTAAGCTTCGTTTTAGTAAGGTCGTTCACATTTATACAGTGACTTGACATGAATACCATGTAAGAGTACCTTTCAAACATCGAAACAAACCAATATAACGTTACACCAAAAAAATCATCGCCCAGTTCCTTAATCTGAGTCAACAAACGCCAAAAAATACGCACAAATAGCACAGAATCCTATGAAAATAAGACAAAGATCACCGCTATAAATGTCGCATATAAAAACGTTTTGTCATGATTGTGTAAATATATAAAGAAATGCGAACAGCTCACCTCAGAAGACGTGCTGGAATGAGCGCAAGAACGCGCGTGTTGTGACGTCATCACTGCGAGACGTTAGTTGTGGTGCCCGAAACCAGAATGGATGTTATTGAGTGCACTCCTTCAAAATCCCCTTAAAGTATAGTCTTTTACTCATTCAATCTCAAAATGCACCGCGATAACGAATGTAAAACAGATGAACAGCCGATGGTTAGAGAATACACATAATGTACAGTGAGGTCGCGCCGCATAAATTCCCGCGTCTGACCATAAGATGGCATCCGAGTCCATCCAAGCTTTTTTTTTTAACACTTTACAGTAAGGTTCATTAGTTAATATTAGTTAACTACTTAAATAAGAAATACTTCTATAGCATTTATTAATCTTAGTTAATGTTAATTTCAACATTTACTAATGCATTAAAATCATCGTTAACATTATGCACTGTGAATTGAACTAACAACGAATGACTGTATTTTCATTGACTAACATTAACAAAGATGAATAAATACTGTAATAAATGTAGGCCTACTTTTATTTTTTTACATGAACTAACATTAACTAATGGATTATTATTGTAAAGTGTTACCAATTCACTTGTTGAACACCAACAGAAAGCCAGTCATAGACTCATAACTAACAGTTTTACAAACAAACATTCGGATTATAGTTTTCACATCACATTCTACACAATAAATTAAAGAAAAAGAGGACAAGTGGGGGAGTAGGAGGTTACTACTTTAATCTTACCAGTAGAGAAAACATGTTGATTTAAAGCTTGATGTTTTGTAGAACATCACAGTTATATGATATGAGAATAGTAAGGCCTGTAGATAGGGAGTAGGCCTATGTGCTATTTAAGAAAAGTATAATTATATTTTCAGACTGACAATTATTATATATATTTTTTCAAACCTGGTGGGGTAAAACGCCCCCAGGGGGCATTGCTTCCCACTATTATTATTATTGTAGTTGACGCACAGAACAAAACTCATTGGTTCTTGCAAAAGCTGAAACATGCTGCATAACACGAGAATGAACCTCACTGGTTCACACACATCATTTAACATAACTAATATGTGCACTGATGAATGTTTAGTTGTGAATAAAAGAGTAAATTAAATCTGTGAATCATATAAAATGATTGAGTCCCTTCAGAAAATTGTGCCTAAATCACTCAATTCATGTGGATTAATTTTGCAATCACTTCATGAACTTTTGAGTGTCAAAGTGGTAGTTGTGTGGACTGTCAATGGAGGGACAGAAATTGTACAGATTTCATTAAAATATCTTAATTTGTGTTCACTATTCAGAAGATGAACGAAAGTATTACGAGTTTGGAATGAGATGAGGGTGAATAACTGATGACATAAATCAAATTTATGCAAACGCCTCTTTAAGTGCTGTCTGAAATTTTCTTCTAAAATAAGCATTTTTTTATCAGGCTCCTATGTTTATATTCAGTTATTTCACTTTAATGGCAATAAAAAGGACCTATTCATTGCAATTGTATATTTAAAAAAAAAAAGCACACTGTAAAATCATGCCGCCATGTCAGAAATATCAGATCCAGCCCCTGATGCCAGATCCTGTCCGAAAATATTAATTTTGTCTGGTGTAGTGAATTTTGCTTTTGTCAACCTAGGGAGGCGAAATAGTGTAGTGATGGATTCTCTTGTCACCAATGACGTTATGATATTTGGACCAGGTGTCACTTAAGGTGTGGTTATGAGTACATCACATAAGAAAGATTGGTGGGATCTCTAACTTGTAGAACCTCTTTCTGAATCATCAACACAAGGAAGACACAAGTGTAATAAAATAGATTTTATTAACAAAAGATAGACAACAGTAATCAACAACTTCAAAATGAAAACAATAAATGAAATAGGAATAAAACGCATAAGATGCATAAAATGCAAGTGATTATGTTGAGTGTTGCTTTGTCAGAGCTACATAATCTGGAAAGATAAACTGTTGCTACTCTGAAACAAATAAGGTGAAGGACCTTATTATGCATCAAACAAATGTGAAAGATTATTTGTTATCAAGTGCAATCAGCTATATAACATCTAATGTCAATTAGAAAAATCATATACTGATAATACACAACAATGCCAAGGTCTCTGGAAGAGGTTTGGATAAGTGATAGTTGCGTTCTCTGTGGTCGAATGAGCAGTCCGGTGGCAGTGACTTCATCCACTGGTTGTGCTGGTAACAATGCAGTGGGGAAAGGAGCAGAAATCTGTTTCGACAGCCTTGAACACGAAGCACTGGAGGATGCTGATCTCCTGGAGCACCAAAGGGTCCTAAAATCTGGAACACGCAGATGTGGCCCTGGAGTAGGTGCAGAAGGTCCTTAGCCTGGAACACGCAAGCAAAGGTACCTTGGAGTGAAGGTTTGCTCGCCGGAGCTTAACCTTGTTGCAAATGTCTGTTCTGCCTCTCTGGGCTAGAGGCTCAGAATTTGGTCGATCCGCTTCGTCTCTCTAGAATGGAGACTCAGGACGTGCTGCATCTGTTGTTGTATCGCTGGACGAAGACTCTGAATGAAGTCTGAACATAGATTATCTCTTTCCTCGCAGGCTGGAGGCTCAGAACGTGGTCGTATCTGTTGCTGCCTTGAAGCTGGAGACTCAGGACTTGGTATCTGTTATTGCCTCTTCCCTCACGGCCCGAGGCTCAGATCATTGGTGATCTGTTGCAGTCCATTCCTTGATCGGACTCAGACTGGAGGTTGATCAGCTATTGTCTCACTGGACGCACCGGAGACTCAGAACAGTGTATCTGTTAATGTCTCACCCTTGCAGGCCAGAGACTCAGAACTTCTGTGTTTCTGTTAGAGTCTCTCCCTTTCGGGACTCAGACTTAAGAACAGTGTATCTGTTATTGCCTCTTCCCTCACGGGACTCAGACTCAGTACCGAAGTTGATCTGCTATCGTCTCACCCATGCAGGGCTCAGACTCAGAACAGTGTAGCTGTTATTTGGGAAGGTACCTTTATCTCTTTCAGTCCATTAACAGCTGAGTTTGTGTAAGATGTTGCACTACACGTCGCTGTCACTGAGAATACTTATTTCTCTGAATAAGTATAAGATGTGTGTGTTGTAGTTTGTGTCAGTTTAAGGTTTGAGAACATAGTTGTGAATGGATTTGGATGGAACTCTGTGATCTCTCTTTGTTTCACCCACTGCTGCTGCGTCCAGAGGTCCTAAGGAATTTTGTCTGTTGGTGGGTGAAGGGCAGAAACTGCATTTTGACCAATAGGAAGTCCTGTCCTTCCCGGGTTTTGTACCAAAGGTCTTCTTCTTGCCCTCTAAAAGGTGTCTGGCTGTTGTCCTGGCATCTTTATCTGATGACGTTGGACAGTTTGCTTATGTTAGTCCACCAAGATCCAATCAAAATGTAGCGAACCTTTGTCCACTATAGTGGTCAGAGAGGGGTCCCGCCATAAACTGGGCCCTGGAATGTGCTGTCCACTACACTGGTAACAGAACAACTAGTAAGCGAAGCCTAATAACCAAAACCTGTTAACAGCAAGTCTTGTCTAGCATCCCAAAATAGCCAAAACTGTATTAACAGTCTACTATCAGCCAAGAACTTGACTGAAAAAAAAAACAGCGAAGAGCAGAAGCAGGAGACGAAGTGATGATAAAAAGTAGCAGAGATTATTGAATAATCTTAGTTGCATATGTTTCAATGCTCAGACTTCGTCTGACCAGCACAAATTCAACAAGTACTGTTATAACAATCTGATTCAAAACAACACCCCATAAACCTTGAGTTTACACTCCCTTGCATCTCTTATTCATTAAGACAAACAGCCCTTGAAACACACAGTCATAAAACTAAACAATGGGAAAATAATATAAAAAACAACAACAAATGACTAATCAATTAATGAATCAATGAAATTAGTATATAAATGGTTAAAATTATTATTATATTACTTGACTTGACTTGGCCAGAAAAACGCGGGGGATGAATTTACATTTTATTAAAAAGTGTTTACGTATTCTACACTCATGGCGCGCACACACATTAGGATAGGTTAGATGTCTGCCTCCGTTGCGAGTCCCTATCAAGCACTTTACCGATTCAACTACTCTCCTCTTCTCCTTCTGCCTAGCTCTTTGGCCAGCATCACTCACCGCAGAGCAAGCCTGTTCTTGATAATGCTGCTGTGAAAACGTGGGAAATGCCGACGAGGAAGAAGTTGGAGTGAAGCGATCTTTATATAGGCGGAGCAAAATACTTTATCGCTTCGTCTATAGCGCATTGTGATTGGATGGTTTACGCTGTCTACAGGAGACAATCCAATGGGCCACTGGCTGCTCGCTATCCCTGCGTGATGGTCCTTGGCAAAGAAAAAAAACCATTCTGTCAGCCCCTTAAGTGCGTCGGCTCACCTGGAAAATGCCCGGTATGCCCGATTACCAATCCAGCTCTGATTACAGATGCTACACAGCAAGATACAAACCTCTGATTAGCACCAAAAATAGAAAGGCAAGATTAGAGTTTGCAAGTAGCCAGTAGCGTATTGGAACAGTGTTTTATGGACAGATGAGACAAAGATTAACCTTCATCTTAGTGATGGGAAAACAATCTTTTTTCTCTCTTAGTGTGGAGAAAAAGTGGAACTGCAAATGATCCTAAGCATACAACCTCATTTGTAAAGCATGGTGGAGGTTGTGTCATGGCATGGGCATGCATGGCTGTCTCTGGAACAGGCCCTCTCAATTTTAATGATGACTTAATGTATGATAAATAATAGTAGCAAAATGAATTTGGAAGGGTACAAAACCATCTTGGCTACCAATATTCAAGAAAATGCCACTAGATTCATTGGGACGTGCTTCATATTGCATCAGGACAATGACCCAAAACACACTGCCAGTTCAGTCAAGGAGTTTATCAGGGCAAAGAAATGGAAAGTCTTAGATTTTTCTGTCCTATTTTTCTGCTAAATTTAATCGTCACCAATTGAATTATTCCACTATTGAAAAGGAGACTCTGGCTCTGTTGCTTGCTTTGCAGCACTTTGATGTGTACGTTGGATATAGTTCTACTCCCATCGTCGTCTA